AGGAACCACTCTGAAATAAAATTAGCAGTTCAAACTGTAGAAAATAAAAATGTTACAAATATTTGGTGATAATTTTCTCTAAGTTAAACACCTTTATAATTTGTTGGTATTATGGATGGTTAGAGTAAAAAAAATTAAATATCTCAAAAAGAGCTCTTGCTTTGAACTTTAAAATTTATCTAGGAAGTTATTTGAGCTCTCACAATTCCTTTCTTCATATAATAAAACTTGGAATTAAAAGAAAATTAAATGGAACTGACCCTGAAGTTCTTAGGTCTCTGTTATAACTTTACATAGAAAAGGTAAACCTAAAATCTTGGTGTTATGTTACCAAGTTATAGTTACTTCTGAAAATAAATTATCTTGATGAAGATAAAGTAATTAGGAACAAACTGAATTTCTATCTTAATTTTTTTTAAAAAGCAGTCTAAATAGAAATTGCTAAACACAATTTGGGAATTTTAATTCAAGATTAAACACTTTAAAATGTGAAAGCTAATGCAAGAATATTGAGAAATTTCTGAGTAAGAGATTAGACATATAGAGCACACCTCAAGGGTAAGGCCTAACACACAGAGAGTTTTTCTCTTCTTCCCAAGGCTACTTGAAAGTGTCAATTTGAGCAGCTGCTGGGATGGATCTCATTGGTAAAATAAGTACAGCAACAGTATAATAATGTAAATTAATCCATTCTGCCAAAGGTGCAAGGAAAATGGGTTGGAATGTGTACAAATTTAGCCAAGTAACTTGATCCCAGATTTATCTGTGGACTGAGAGTACTGAGCTAGATCTCATCACCTTTATGCTTATATTATATTCAAATTGTTGTTTTGGGGCATAATCAAAATAGATAATCCTTTCTGGGTTTAAGAAAGGTATCCAAAAACTAAAGATTCGTCTGTTTTGTAGTTTTGTCCTCCTGAACACCTTCAGTCCTTTAGCTTCATAATCAAGTCTCAATCTGAAGTGAGTGGCTCTAGGATATAAATATTATTATTCTGACAAAATCCAAGGAAACTGATTATAGAGTTCTGTTTTAGTCCAACGATTATATGCATTTAGAAGAGAAAAAGAGCCTGATTTCATTAAGAAAAATATTGGTTTAATGAGCCAGTTGTACTGATTTATATAGCTAGAAAACTACGCATACATAGGTAATATAGATAGCAATGTTGAGACACTGAAACAATGTAGATTATATGCTATGTATACAAACTCACTTGATAGATTAAAATTTAAAAGATGGAGGAACATATACCCTGCAAACACTGATCAAAAGAATACTGGAATAGCTACTCAGATTTTAGACAACATAGATTTAAGAACAACAGAGACTATTAGGGCTAAAGATAGGCATGATATAACACTAAAAGAAACAATTCTCAGAGAAGACATAAAAATCTCATACATGGATTCATCTAACAACAGATCTTTATAATACACGAAGCAAAACCTTTATATATCTGCAAAGAGAGGTAGATGAATCCAGAATTATAGATGAAAGCATCAACATTCCTGTCTTGGGAACTGTCAGGCAGAAAATCAGTAAGAATATGCAAATATACAGTCGAGATGGTGCAACGAACTAACTCGGTGTGATTGATATTTATAAGAATACTTCACCCAACAGCAACAATAGAATACACATTATGCTCAGGTATACATTAAATAGTCACTAAGACATCATATACTGAGTTAAAACAAAACTTTAACATTAAAGATAACAGAAATCATAGCAAATATATTCTCAGACCACAGTATAATTAAGCTAAGAAAAGAAGAATGGAAAGAGATCTGGAAGATTCTCAAATATTTAGAAATTTAAAAAAAAACACTTCCAAGTAAGACATGAGTTAAAGAGAAACCACCAGGAAATTTAAAAAAATACTTTGAACTACATGAAAAAAACCAAATATTAAAATTTGGAGGATGCAGCCAAACAATGCTTAGAGGAAAATTTGTAGCACCGAGTGCCTATATTGGAAAGCAAAAGGGTCTAGAATAGCCCAAACTTTCAATTTAAGAAATTAGTAAGCACAGCAAGTTAAATAGCAAGTAAAGAGAAAGAACAAAATAATAATTATTGGGCAGAAGTCAGTGAAAATGTTTTGGGGATCAAGAACAAGTAAAAGATGTCCACTCTTGCAACTTCTATTCAACTTTGTGCCAGAGGTAAAGCCAGGGCATTTAAGGAAGGAAATGAAACAAAGTAATCTATATTTGAAAGGAAAAAATAATATTTATGTTTGCATATGACATAATCTTATAAAAATAAAATCCTTAGGAATCCAGTAAAAACTATTAAAACTAATTAAACAAGTTCACCAAAGTTGCCACATACAAAAATTAATCAATACAAATCAATTGTATTTGTATGTATCAGTGGTGAGAGTTACAAAAATAAAATGAAGAAAACTATTTCATTTATAATGACATAAAAATAATACTTAGTATTAAATTTTTAAAAACTTTTCATTTATAATGACATAAAAATAATACTTAGTATTAAATTTTTAAAAACTAAGCATTGTTGAAAGACATTGGAAAAATTGTAAATAATTGTGAAGACATCCCAAATTCTTGGATCAAAAGATTTAATATTGTTAACACAGTAACACTATACAAATTGAGTAACAGTCTGAATGGAATCCATATCAAAACCAGCTAGGCCTCCATGGATACCGAGAAGCTTAATCTTGAAATTCACATGAACTCAGGTTATCACACACTGGGCTTTTGTAATGTTTTCTTAAAATAGGTATATAGGTGTCTGAGTTTGTGCATGATTAATATTTTATTCTGAGTCTGAAATATTAAAAATGATAATAGCTTATATAAACTCATTTAAGTAAAATTTAGGCCAAAAATAGTGTAAATTTTCATGGATTTTCATAAACTCAATGTCTTAGTTACTTTCCTTGTTACTGAGCTAAAATACCCCACATCCACTACTTTAAGAAGGAGAGGTGTATTTTGGCTCACTGTGTGTAGAAGCTTCAGTCAGTAGGTGGTTGGTTCCAGGACAGGGTGGCACAGAAGAGGGGCATGGCAGAGGAAAGACAGCTGGCATGACAGGCAGAAAGAGGGACCAAGGGGAGACAATGGAAGATGTACCTCTCAGGCAGCACCCTCAGTGACCTACCTTCTCCAACCAGGCTTCACCTCCCAAATCACATTTAACTATAAACTCATCAGTGGACTAATCCACTGATAATTATCACACCCCATGATCCAATCATCTCCCCAAAGCCCCACCAATGAATGCATAAGGCTTTCTGGGAACATAGAGATATAAACCATAACACTCAATATGACAGTATAACTAACATCCAGATCAAGAAACACTAATTATACCATCAGGATCTCAGCACTATATCAACTTTCTACTCACCTAACAGAAGGTGTTTTTATTTATTTATTTATTTATTTATTTATTTATTTATTTATTTATTTATTTATTTATGGGTACCAGGGATGGAAGTTGGGCTTGCAGAAGTAAACACTAATTATACCATCAGGATCTCAGCACTATATCAACTTTCTACTCACCTAACAGAAGGTGTTTTTATTTATTTATTTATTTATTTATTTATTTATTTATTTATTTATTTATTTATTTATGGGTACCAGGGATGGAAGTTGGGTCCTTGCAGAAGGTGTTTTTAATAATGAATACCACCATGTGGCAGAATGAGGTGGAAGGTTTGGATGGGAAATGTCTGCTTTTCATTTGCATCTTCCTTTTTTTTTCTGTATGCCATTATGCAACTATGTTTTCATAAATCTTTGTGACTAAATAAATCGTAAGTCTTAAGACAAGAACATACTTAAGGCTTAAGCAATTTAGCATCTAAATTCTCAAAGACTTTTCCCTCTCCTTCACTCTTGCTTACTGAAGACCTGCTCACACCCCAAGACAACTCATCACACTGCACCCTTTAAAATTTGAAGTGCCTCCATTTTAGTGTCTCATCATGACCTGGTACTCCATTGCTACTTCAATCACCTGAGCTCTTGACTGTCTTCTCTTTTTCAGTCTATTAATGCCACACATATGCACACACACACACACACACACACACACACACACACACACGCGTGCGTGCGAATGATGTTGGTTATTATTTCCTTAGTGATAGGCAAGAAAAATACAAAGAAAGAGACAAATGTGACACATATTCTCATAAAGATATGCCAGTCAGTGGTCAATCACAGCTCCCTGGAGTACATCCCATACCTTTGGGGTGGGAAAATACTTCACCTCTTCTCAAAATCAATGGAACTCATCAAAGCAGATCGACAGATTATGCCTCAAGAAAACTCACTGTAGCTGATGGCCTTGCCAGTTTTACTGTCCCGAGCCCAATCACTTCAAATAAAATTATTAAGCCATGTTCTCAGATCCAAATAATTATCTTTCTTGGCCAAATCTGTCTTCTTTTCTCTCTCATCCATCCTCAAGAACCCTTTCCTCTTTAGATTTCGCCTATGTCTTTTTCATCCTGGAGGGGACTGTGTGCCAGTCCTCATTTCCCTGTGCCTGGTCTCTGAACAGCTGATACTTAAAAGCAGTGAAAACCTTCCCCCATGTGATAAATATCATTTTCAACTAACTGAGTGGCAGTGGGTGAGACACAGGAAGTGTGGAGAAAGCTGCTGAAAGCCACATATTCTGTGGGTTAGTGGATTAACAAGCAATGATGGGAGAACAAAAGATAATGCAAATTGCATAAATGCAGAGGGGTCCCTCAATGTAGGATAAATTGTAAAAGATGCATATTTTCAAAAAAAATGGACAAGTTTAATGAAGAAGATAGTTGGTTTATATGCAGTAAATGGCATCTTTAGAAAAACAAAAATAAATCATTTTTGAATGGAATACTTTATCAAAATTTAAATCATCATACTGTTATTTCATTGATCTTTGCACTATCTTTTAAAAACAGCATAAGAAGCTCCACCTTAAAAGACCCTATTCTTGGAATATTTATTTTTTCTGTTCAATTGGTATGGACACAAGTGACAAGCCCCTCTTGCAGACACTCTCTGCTCTGAGCCATGGCCTTATGTCAGTTTCTTGAGATTTGTGGTAGGAGTGGTTCTCTGACACAGTCTGCAGTTGTCCGCATGATCACACTGATGCCTGAAAATATCTGGCTCCAATGGTACCCACACCTGGTTGCCAGTTTTGATTCACTGAAAGGAGAAATAGAGAACAGAAGCTAAAATTTGGAGAAGCAAACAGTGAGGAAACATGCTAAATTTCTTAAGTTTCCTTTGAGGGGGAAGTTGGGGGCGTCAGGCTCTGCAGGACCACCCAGCACTGCAAAACCTTCCCTGCAGGGTTGCAATCTGGAAGTGCAATTCCACACTTCACCCTAACCCAGGTCTGAACTACTACTCAGGGCAAGGGTCACAGCTTCCCATTCGCACTTGCATTCTCTGATTTGCAATCTTACCCACAGCCTCCGTGTTGTCATTCAATTCAGAGAAAGCCTTTCAACAAGGCCACAGAGGTCATGGAGATGACTTGAAGCTCAGGGGAACGTGGAGTTTCCCATTTCCTGACTTAACATCTGCCACTCAGTTTGAAGCTTTCTTTCTTCCTCTTAAAGAAGAAACATTATTGAATAGCCGAGGGCTAGGGGTAGTGAAAAATCTCATTACTTTTTCCTCTGCTGTCTTCTCTCAGGATGCATTTCCTAGTCAATATTCTTGCAACAAATCATTTTTAATTTGAAAGTCACACTCCACCATAAAAATGTACACAAGTATTATGAAGCTAGGCAGGGAAATGCTACGCTCAGCACATTGTAAATACAAGAACTGTTTCTCTAATGCAAGAGGAATAAATTATCAATTTATCTTCCTGTGACTGTCTCATCTGGTTATAAATGATAGCAGAGCTTTAACTAAATACAAATATTGAAGTTCATTAAACAACTAAGATTTCATGCAAAAAGAAAAATAAAGCAACTGAAGCCTGAGTTTTTTGTCACATCTAGTAAATATACACAGGGCAAAAAATGTTTTACATTAAATAAGATCATATTTAAATGCTACTTGAAAGTTGATTGAAACAAGAAAGTAAACACAAAGATGAATAAAGATGAAAATGACTTTTGACTTTTTCTACTTTAGTGCAAACTGGAAAGAAAATAGTTATTTGTTCCCCAAATAATTGCTAAGATTCTGCAAGTGATATTTGGATGTCACTTATAGTCTACATTACAAAGATTCAGAGGTAATTTTGTTTTTTTCCCTTAGATTTAGGGAAGCCAACCTTGGGTCAGCTCACACAGGGGGATCAGTGTCTTCCATTTTTTAATATGGCTGTCGATGTGTGTAAGTGTATACATTTATGTGATGGTTGGGTGTATATAAATAACAAAACACTTTTGAATTTTCATTTCATTTACTTGTATATAGTTTAAGGTTTTAAAATTAGGTGTATATTGCCAGGTAAACTAAAATATTAACATAATGTCTCTGCTTATGGTTTTAGAATTAGAACTTGGGAGAAATCTTAGAGATTCTCCCTTCCTGCCCTATATTTACCAATCAGCCAACCAAGAGCTAGAGAAAACCAATGATTTTCATGCAGTCTACACTACAGGAATCAAGCAATCCCTTCACACTGCAACTTTCATAGTGTTGTTTTTCCTTTTGGTATTGTTGTTGTTTCTACTTAACTTTTCAATATTTTTAATAAAAAGTGAAGTATAAGAGTAAAACTAAGTAGAATCCATATAAGAGAAAATCCCATTACTACACACTTGCTGCAATAAAGTTACAGATTCTTTGCCCTCAGGTAGACACGGCAGTGACCAAGCTTTCATAGAACAAACACAACATGATTCAGAGAGATATACATTGCAATTCACTTTGAACATATTAAAGATGTTCTATTTGTACAGAGTAGAAGGTTACCAAACCCCTGGAGGTAGCGCCTTGACGATAGTTGAGAATCTCAGGTGAGTTATTGAGTTGTGACCATTTTGAGTCTCAGATTTCTTGTCAATAAAATAAAATAAAATAATTGGACTAGAAAATGCCATGTGAGTTATTTGCTTTAGGCCTTTACAGAGGCTGTAAAATCAACCAGCAAGTATCAGTTACAGCTGGGGAAGAAAATCTAAAAAATTACAGGCAGAAAAACAGACCTGAGTGTCAAGTACAGGGAACGGGGCAAAGCTATAAAGAGGCAACAAGCAAGATGTGAAATGGATGCAAGAAAGAGGTTTAAGAGAAAGAACAGAAGTTCTGACTTTGTGCTGGATGGTAAAGAGGGTTGATAACAATCATACTTATTCCATCATTTGTAAAACCTCTGGCCAAGGCAGACTTTAACAAAGCCACCTTGTGCAAAGTAAAAGTATTTATCACCTCCATTGTATCACCTCCACTGATATGCACATAACATAAAAGGGATGACTGAAAAATATGACATTTCAATTTTTAAAAGAACCTCTCATAGTTAAAAAAAATGTGGCCAAGAAAATGGGGGTAATTGCACAGAAGGGACAGGGAATGTTTTGAGGGAGATTAATGGAAATGTGTATTTTATTATAATGAATTATTTTATTTAAACATACACGTATATTTTGTCATCACCCTTCCATAATAAAATATTTACAACAATTTCTGTCAAACAAAAACATTATGGAGTGTTCTCATCTATCTTCTTCATTGGATATGGCAACTTCTAGATCTTCCCAAAAGTCAAAGTGACCATGAAAAGTAAACATTATCAACAGATTCAGGATATCAAGGCAGCCACAACTCATAAACTCCTTCAGAAAATGATAAGAATGACGTGGTAAGTATGTTCAAAGTGAGAGGAAGGAGGCCATGAATTTATCTCAGTGGTTCTGCTTCCTGCCTTGCAAGGGCAAGGACCCCAGCTCCATCCCTGGTACAAACAAACAAACAAACAAAAAGCAAAGTGAGGGGGAGTATTTTAAGGGGGGTTAATGGCAATGTGTCTTACTATAATAATTTTTCTTATAGTGTAAACACTATGTTTTGATTAACCTTGTATTCTTCCTAGGTCTTTGGTCATTTGTGTACTGGCAATACAGCATTTTTCCATGTGGATCTTTTTTGCCTTCCTCAATTGGATTACAAACAATTTATAAATAAAGGCCATGTTTTTTAGGGTGCCTAATAAACCTATTTTATAACAAGCACTTGAGTATTTCTTCATAGATTACTAAATGAATGAATAAAAGCATTACTATTAAAAGATATTATTTACTTATCTATCAATGAAAAATCCAATCATATATTTGTTGCATACCAATTAGTCAACTACTGGTTTACATGACATGAAAGGGAATAAAGAAATAAATCAGGAAAAAAATTTCCTAAGGATCTCCTTCTGTATGGAATAGTGAAGTAAATGGATCATTATAATCCATGTGACTAGTGCCATAATCAGAAGCAATAGGAGCTGAAAACAGGGAATTGTTCCCTGGAGAGTCCAGATGTTGTTGTTAGTCAAGGTTTCAAGGAGGAGAGATTTAATTTGACTCACGCTTTCAGGAATTCAGTCCATGGTAAGCTGGCTCCAAGACAGAAATACCATGGTGAAAATGTGTTACAGAACAAAGACACTTAGGTCGTGGTAGCTGTGAAGGAAAGCAGAACAGTGTCAGAGAGGAATGGGTGAGGGATAGTACCCTAGATCACTTCCATGACCCACCCAGACACGCCCAAAGGTGTATTTTAAGTAATTTCCTAAGTGTTTCTTAATCCAGTGAAGTTGACATATCAGCATTAACAGTCACAGCCTCTATCCAGATTCCTATATTTAAACATTGAAGAAGGAAGTTAGAAAATCAGTATAGGCCAGACGGAGGAGGGGCTTAGATGCAACAACAAGAAGTTAAACATCATCTCACAGAGTAATTTAATCTTAGACTCTGACTTTTATAGACCAGCAAGATTCAAAGACATTTTAAGATGAATAAGTGTTTCTTTTCTCAAACGAGTAATTTTTTAAAATTTACATTTACAAATATCAGTATTTCATAAAGGAAAAGAAGTTCTCAAAATATCAAAAAGTAGGATGGACATAGCCCAGGGGAGAGGCAGTCCCTTAAGTGTGTAAATTTATGCCTATAAAACAATTCCAATGATAATTTTCAATTCTTATGCAGCTTTTATATATTAAAACAGTTATCACAGATAGTGCTCATTTCATGAATTTGATTCTGAGAATCTCAGATGTAGCCAATGGGAAAACCAATGAAAGATTTCAAGTAAGAGAATTATACAAACTTTTTTCATAAATAAAAATGACTCTTACATGTCTATGTCATATAATCATCTCCTTCATTGTCTTAACGGTACAGGGATTAGAATGTCAAAAGGGTCTAAAGCATGTGGTGGTCATTATATTGGGAGCAGCAGAATCAAGGGACATCCAATGTAGCTTCAGGTTTCACATACACTACTAAATTTCATCACTGAGATAGAGAAAAGCAGCACAGAAAACCAATTAGACCCTTCAGAGAATGCTGTACTCAAGACAATATGAAAATCAGTAGACAATTTAAAATTTTAAACAATTTTAGACTTTAATTTGAATAAATGTATTCATGGATCAACTTGATTTTTTTTTTTTTGTATTGGGGATTGAACTCAGGACCTTGTCCTTATATGGCAGGCAGCCACACCACTGAGCTAAATCCCTGGCCCATCAACTTGATTTTTTTTTTTTATTGGTTTGTTCATTTATACCCTGTTAATTCCACAGAGGGGTGCAAGTAGCATACTTCAAGCAACCTTGTGTTTTCATGATTAATGGTGACATATAACTCCAAATCAGAGAAATGTTAAGTGATGGATGAAATTCTAAAACTGCAAGTTCAGTCCATTTGGAATTCACATCAAAATGTACAAAGGCATATCCCCAGCTCATGCTGAAACTGCTAAATTGGGCAATAAATCTCATGAGAGTTTAGCACATGAAATCTCTGGTATTTCCTGCTTTTAATTTGTCCAGAAATATTTCCAGGATAGCTTTTCTTATCATATTTCAGAACATGCTCTTGTAAAGTACAGATTCATAGAAAAGACTGGTTTTGTGTTGGTTCATACGTGGATCAAGATCAGTTCTTACACTACTGAAACCAGTTCAAATGGTTAACTGTTCACAAATATCACAGAGCCACTTGGTAAGATATTCTTTCAAAAAAGAAAACAAAACATCCAAAATTGTAGCAATTAGCTGAAATTCACAGAGCCAGAGAAACACCACCATTTTCAGTTGAAAGAACTGAGATTATTCTCCAAAGCCACCAAGATCTTTATATTCAGCATATAATAATGTTTTGTCTTTGAAAAATCTTTCCCTGCTTCCATTTTTCTTTCCTTCTTTTAAATAGCTAAACTCTAAAAATTCATTGACCCTGCAATGGATACATCAAAGAAAGAAGTGTTCATTTTTCTTAGTTAATGGTTTGTTCCTTTAAACAGAAATATCAGTAATCTGGAAGCATGCAAAGAGAAATGAGAAATAAAGAACTTCAGAATTTATGATGATAATTTATGATGCTTAAATAATGGAGACAGCAAACCCCATAATATGGGGCAAGTTGTTCTAGTTTATTTCCTATTCTATATAAATCTTATACCACCTCTTGTTGGTAAACAGTAAGTTCAAGCTTTACAGAGAAATAAGGAATTAGTGAACCTCAGATGGGAAATTTCATGTTTTGAGGTTGCTGAAACTTATACAATTTGGAGACCACTTATAAGAGGTGATTGTAAAATATGGTGAATATTACAGAAAAGACACAATATCATTAATTTCCCCCTTATTATAATCCCCCTCCCTTCAAACACACTTATTTCATCATCTTGCCACTTTCTGAAGCAGTTCTGTAAGTTTTTTTGGGAGTTTCTTTGCAGGGCCTGAACAAAAATAGAGTGAACGTTCTGCTGAATTCCACCCAAAGGAAAGGCAGACTCATAAAAACATTACTGTGTGTCCTCATTCACCTTATTCTTCAGATTTGGCACCATGTAACTTCTGGCTGTTTTCTGAAGACAAACAGACCATGAAAGGTAAAACTTTTAAATTTATTTAGGATAACAAGGCAGCCGCAACAATGCAACTAAAGACATGAAAAAAGTACTTTCAGAACTGCTTCAGAAAGTGACAAGAACCATGGGATGTGTGTTTAGAGTGGGAGGAAGTGCTTTGAGGGGATTAATTGCAGTCTGTTTTTTACTGTAGCAATGTTTTATTTAAACACACATTATATTTTATCACACTTTGTGTAAGAGAAAGAATACAAAATTACAATAACAACATTAAGTACAAATTGCATATATTTTAGAATGAAAATCAAAAGAAAATTTTTTTCTTTCTTTTTTTTTTTTTTTTTTGGTACTGGGGATCAAACTTGGGTCCTTGATGCTTGTGAGGAAGGCCCCCGAATCACTGAGCTAAATCCCTAGCCCTCACAAGAAAGTTTTGAAGGCTTGGAGATTTCTCCTAAGACCTCTCACCAGAATGCTGGAATGAAGTGTTTATAAATTGCACAATGACTTTCCTCCCATCTGAAATACAACCAGCAGCTTCCACATTACCATTGCACCTGCAAGGGAAAGGCCTTTACTTACGAAGAAATCTTTAGGAATAATATAAGCATGTCAATTAGCTTTCTGATAGTGTAATAAATACAGGAAGTGATCAACTTACAAAAAGAAAAATTGGATTTAGGCTCATAATTTTGAACATTCCAGTACATGTTTAATTGCCCACATTCCTTTAGGCCCTGTGGTGAAGTAGCACATCATGGAGAAAGTAAATGGCAGAGCAAAACTTGATCACCTTATGAGCACAAAGTGAAAAAGCAAATAAGAAAGATTCCCCCCTTTGATAGCATTTCTCCAATGACCTAAACCTCCCAGCAAGCCACACCTCTTAAAGTTTAACTGCCTCCCAAAGCACCAAATTGGACACCACGCTTTTTAACACTTAAGATGCAAATCATAGCAATAAGAGGTCAGGAGTTCCTACAAAATTTTACAGATCTTAGAATTTGGAAGTGAGCCAAACTTCTTGACTTTAGAAGATTGACACTGATGCATCTTCAAAATTTTATGAGACTAGTATCAATTCTAAGAGAAAAGATGGTGGGAAAGATCTCCGGACATACAATTAATGGCCACCAAAGTGGTAAAACAAAGATGGATTGCCTCCTCTACCAATTTGTTAAACACTTTTTTGTTTTGTTTTGTTTTTTGCTTATATAGCTAGTGAGGGCCAGATTTTCTATTAGCATGATGAAAAAAATCAACAATTTCCTTACATCTTGAAAATATGGTTTTAGCATGAAAGTCCAGGTGTGACTTTAATTTTAAAACACATCCAAATTTTACTTCAAAGAAGCTTGATGATTTTAAAATCTAAAGACAATCATTCTTCAACCAAAGTTATATATTTTGTGATGATTTCCCCTAACTCATAACTGGCTTGTAGTTAGTTATTTTTACATAACAAGTCTCTTCATTTAGTTACTTTGGAATATGTTTAACAAAACATTTGTTTCAGCCAGGGATTTAGCTCAGCGGTTCGGGGGCCTGCCTTGCAAGCACAAGGACCCGAGTTCAATCCCCGGTACAAAAACAAAAAACAAACAAACAAGAACAAAAAACATTTGTTTTGGAAGCTGGACCAAGAAGCATGGCAATTTCTGAGGATATAAAAGATAGTCAAGAGGAGTAAGAGATACAAATCATTGTAGCCTTGCCAAAAAAAGAAGTTAGATTTTGGAATTATGCTTATTCATTTATTTATACATTGGTGGGGATTTAACATTGATTAAATGAAGTAAAAGAAAAGTCTTGCCAGTGAGAGTTCCTTGTCTTTATAAATATTTGCATTCAAGCATTTTCTTTGTGCAACACTTAACCAAAATAGAAAGAAGCTTGCCTGACTCTACAATTGCTACACACACACAGGCGTGCGTGTGCACACACACACACACAATCTTGGAAGACTATTATGACATAAGATTCTGTTCTTATAACACTATAAGGTGACCAACTATCCTACTTTTCTGAGACTCTCCTATTTTCATCAATGAAATCCTGCATTCTAGGCAACCCCTCAGTCCTAGGCAACCCAAAATAGGTGGTCATCCTACTTACTTGACAACACAGATGTGTTATAAAAACAAGTCCTTGCTTCTACTAAATATCAAGAGTTCAGATTTTAGCTGAATTCTTAACTGGAAATTTTCAAGCTCTTAAAAATGTATGACTTGTTGAAATGATAGGCTAATTTTGGTGTGTGTATATACAATATTCTGATCAGAGGTTCATCAGATATTTAATATTGTTTACCTTAAGAAGATCAGGTAAATTCTAGCAATGGAAGACTGCCTTAAAAAAATGTGCTCAAATAAAGAAGATGTGGTTTTTCTATAAAATGGAATACTATTCAGCCATAAAGAATGAGAAATTAGAGTCTTTCATGGGAAAATGGATGCATACTGAGGATATACTCCTAAGTGAAATAAATAAGTCACACATGTATAAATGCTAAATAGTTTATCTGGTGTGAAAAACTATAGTGGTATATATAAGATCCTAATGATATAATCGACAATGTGAATTAGGAAGAAAAGGGCTAAAGGTGTAGGGGAAATGGGAAGGGTAAGGGAAAGGTAATAAGGGAAAAGAAAAAATTGAGAAAGTGAAAAAATGGAAATAAAGTATTTGTAAATAGGGAAGGGAGGAGGGGGTGAAGGGAGGGCAGGGATAAGGAGGAAAAAATGAGAACCAAGACCTGTCATGTAAAGATATAAGATCCCAATAATGAATGTAACTATACTGTATACCTAAAATGTACCAATAAACTCAATGAGAAAAAAAAAGTGTGCCCTATTTCCTATTCTAAATATCCTAATTGTTTTGCTTCATTGCACTTTGGGTGAGTGCACTAAGGAGACCATCAGTTACTAGAGCTACCAAGATGTTTGTCACTGTAAGGATGTTGACAAGGACCTTGTTTATTATGAATGCAATCTCTTATAAGAAGTCTTGGAGAAAAATTTGTCTTGTTTTGCTTTCAAAATTCATTTTATTCTTCTAAGTTTGCCTTTTTCTTACAGACAACTCACCACATTTCCCATTCCTACTTCTAGACATCTTAAAAACAAATATCTGATATGTCCATAGACCATATGTAGCACTTTATTGTACAAGTTTTTTGTTTGGAAAGTATTTCTCACTAGTCATATTTCTCTTATTTGTTATTCTATCTTTTAGGAATTAGGTTTTGGTTGTAAGCACTGGAAACTCCCCAAGTGAGTGTTTCAACAGGTTAAGACTCATTTTGCTCACATAACAGGAGAGGAAACTTTTTTACCCACCATTTAGTTTCTTGCTCTCAAGATGGTTGTTTTACTTCAGTACTGATTTCTCACTCCAGAACTGAAAGGAAGGAGAACAAATGTCCAAAGTCAGGCACCATTTCTGCTAATCTCCTTCAGCCAGAACATCAGCATATGAGCAACACTACTTGGAAGGGACAACGGGAAATGTAAACTTGTTTATACTAGGTCCACTGCTGCCTGGACAAAGCCAGGGGTTGATTGATAGAAAAAGGAGGAGAATGAGAGCCTTCAGTGACCACCACAATTATCTTCTAGTGCTGTATGGTATTTTCATAAACTATATTATGTCTCTTTTGGAGTATGCAGACAGGGTCAAAAGCACAAATTAAATACAGCAAATTACAATAGGGCTGCTGGAAAAGAGTATCAGAAGGTTTCTGACTGACATAATTTAAACTTAGGTGTGCAGTTCAATTCCTGACTATCCTGCCTTCCAAAGCAAAAAAATCTCAAAGTTACTCCATTTTGAAAAAAAATCATTAAGTGTGGTTCCTGCTCTGTTACCTACCAGAGAAAAATTCCATTCTTTGGTACTGGGGATTGAACTCAGGCCCTTGCTGCTTGCAAGGCAGGCACCGGAATCACTGAGCTAAATCGCCACCTTTTTTGTTTTTTGTTTTTTTGAGACAGGGTCTCACAATGTAGTTGAGACTGACGTGGAACTCACTATGTAGCCCAGGCTGATCTTGAACTCATAGTGATCCTCCTGTCTCTGCCTCCTGAGTGCTGAGATTACAGGCATGCACCACCACGCTGGCAAAAAAATTCCATTCTTTATTCATGTTATGTGTCTGCCTTCTGCCTGGCACTAGTCTGGGCTTAGTTAAGTGTAGTTAACTGAGAGCTCCAAGAAGCAACTCCACAATTGTGATGGTGTTTGACAAGTGCCATGGAAGGTACTATGCATGGCACCATGGGATTGTGGAGAAGTGGCCACAACCTGCCAGGAGGGAAAAGGACAGAGACTTTCTAAGGGCAGTAGCACTTGACCTTGAGGAAGAGCTGGATTAGCACATGGAAGACTGTGCATAAGTGGACAGGTTGCAACTGTCCCTTAAATATGCCTGATGGAGCAAAGCAGGAGATAAAAGTGAAGGGTTCCTGACACCAAAAGACATGATGAATGAAGGAATCTGGGTTTTACACCCCCGACAATGGGAGAATACCAAAGATCTTTTTCTTTGTTCTTATACAGAAGAGTCACATCTATATATCTGAATATCAAAGACCACTTTGTAGGGCACTGCATGGATTTGAGGGAGGAAGGAAGAAGTCTTGGGAGGCTGTTGCAATGGTCCAAATAAGAGAGACTGAACTAGAGCAGTGTCTCTTGGTACAGAAGGAGGGGACAGATTTGAAAGATGTTAGGTTTGTAGACTTGTGAAAATTTGATGACTGATAGGTCACATTGAACAAGTATTACCAGGAGCTTAAAGTGACCCTATCTCCCCTTTATGACTTTCTAAAATAGGTATTTTAGTCAAAGGTTAACCTTGCCAGGAGAAAGAATTCAAGGTTAAGAGCTAAAGTCATGCTGACTTGACATGTACCTCTTATCACAAGTAGCTGGAGCACAAGAGAAAGGCAGATAACCTGAGTCAAAAAGATCATTACCATAAATATCCTGGAAGACTTGTACACCCAGAAGGCATGAATATATATACCATGAAATAACAATGAGTATGAGTTACATGAAACACTTGACACAGATTTCACTTTAACTTGATCTTAAACACCCAGCAGAAAAGAATAACCAAAAGAGGTATAAAAACACCATAGTAATAAAGCTAGATATAAAAAGGGGCTACAGTCACTGACCCTTCTGGCAGTTTCCAGCTCTACCAGTAGCTGACCGTGGTTATTGATCATTAGGGAAAAACTATTGTAAAATCTATAAGAGCTCAGCTAGAGTTTTGTATTTCTTAGTGAAGTTTATTCTTCAAATTTTATCTTGTCTTACAGCGCAAACTAGAGAGACTTATGACAAAGTATCAGACTTATAGATAATATCTATCAATGAAAGACTGTAAGATCAGCAAGTTCAATCACTATTTCAATTTCTAAGTACGACTTTCTCCCCAACCTGTCCTTTCATTCTAGTGTGCTCATGCTTAGATTATGCATACTCTAATTTCTTAAAAGTTTTGTTTATTCTTGCCTAGAGACTGCCAAACTCCAAACAGTCAGACAAATGGATCCCATAACAAATGTGCTAGACTTCTTTTACTGGGATCCATCAGATCAACCTTGCAAACAGCTCATAACCACTAAACTAAACAATATGATTTCTATGTTGTATTCTAAAGTCCCCTGGACCTTCTCCTTATCCCCTTTATGGGATATATTCATAGCAATTCTGCTGACCTTATAATTTGGCCCATGTAGTTTTAACTGTTTCTTAGGCTTTGTCTCCTTCAGACATAAAAGCTGTGCAGCTACGAAGATGACAATGCCTAGTGTATCAAAGGCCTTAGACAGACCCTCTGTAGAGTAACCCTCACTGCTGATCACAACTACAACCCTCTTCAGCTGGAAACAGTCAGAGCTGTCTTCACCCTTTGCCCTCTCACAGCAGTTAGGGGTACTTCTTCAGAGCAGGAACTATTGTAGATAGGTAAGTTAATTAGATATCTTGTAGGCATTTGGACAGGGCTGCCCTCAAGGAGCCAACATGAAGACAGTCAAGGCACAGTCACTGAAGGCCAGAATTGTGCTTCTTTTGTGCCTCCCCTGGGGATATAGCAGTAAATAGGTATCACCTGGGTTGGGGGCCAAGGTCTTAGGAAATGTACCTAACTCCGACCTTACTTAAAATTTCTTATATGCTATGTGACTTACCCCCTATTTGACCCCCATTTAATCAATATTACCTGGGTGACTGTACTGATAATCTTACTTGTTGGCCATGGTTTTGCCCCACCTCATGCCCACCTTGTAATTTCCATTGAGTCTTATAGTTTTTTTCCCACTTTGTACCCACCTCACCACATGGCTTGGCTGTATAAAACATCTTTGAGAAGTAGGGTGAGTGGCCAATCCACTTTGCGGTCCCCCTTCTGTCTCTCAGACAGAAGCTTTCTCTCAATAAATTTATCCCACTCAAAAAAAAAAAGTGGCTGAAGTCAGATGGCTGTGGAGGAAATCTCAAGGATTTAAGACCATTTAGGGGAGAGATGCTTTCTGTTTTTGTCATGTTGGAATCAGCTCTGGAATGCCCATGGAGAGTTGCCTTGAGGTAGACAGAATTCTATTTCCTTCTGATTTCTTCAGGAATCTCCCATGGCAATTATCCCCTTTCCCTTCTTTATTTCCATCCTTACCTGCTCTGTCACCTCCATCCCAGCAGCCTGGAGCCATGTTTCCCAATGTGATTTCCATCCTCACCTCCAGCTTAACTGCAGGCAAGGCCCATCTGCACCCTCTGGGCTCCAGCCACACTGCACTTCCCATTGGTCCTGGATATTTGCCATGCTTTCATTGACCTCTGGACTTTGCATAGGTTTTTACACTGTCTGAATGTTCTCTTCGCAGCATTCTTTTTCACTTAACTCCTTTTACCTCCTCCCCAAACCCATAGACAGCCTCTGTTTCACATTCCAAGAACACCTAATACTTCGCAATTTTGTCTGATGAAAATGGTTTACATAATTACTTATGATTATTTGTTTAATGCCTGTTGTTCACAATGGACTTTGCTCCATGAGGGCAAGGGCTCTGCTTTGCAAAGACCCTAGCTATAGCACTCAGTATACATTTACCCATGAAGTGAAGATTCACAAATCTTTCCCATGTTAAAAAATGAACATAACTTCTTTCCAATCCTATATTCATCATTTGCCTCTGCCCTCCTCTGTCCACCATCAAGCATCTTGAAAGATGTTATAGTGTTGCCCTATGGGCTGTGTAAATCTTGCAGACTGGGAGCTATGCAGAGAAGGCAAGCATAGATCAGGCAAAGATGAAAAGGTACAGGCCTGGGCATGCTCTTGCAAAAAGTATTCTACATAGTCACTACACGGTCACTATAGTTATGGTATTTTCTACTGTTTATCTTTACCCCACAGCAGTTTGACTCCATGTCACTGTTCCACTACTGGATTTGCTTGGGCAAATGCATCTGTTCAACTTATTGTGAAATTTAATATTTGGATTTCAATTATTTAGCTGACCCCTCTGAAACATTTAACACAGTTGTCCTTCTGTTCCTTTGTTGGATTTCTTTAACACCACCTCTTCCTGGATCCTTCCCTCTCTGATTATCTCTTCTCTGTTGCTTCACTAACTTTATTCCTTTGGACATCTAAATGTCAAGTTCTGTTCCACATCTTCTTAGTTTATCACCGGACACGGGAGCAATCTTATACAAAACCACATCAACATTTTGGCTGCTATCCATAAAATTTCCTAAAGGAAGCTCTGCTTCTTCACATGAAAAATGAGCTGACATAAGGGAATTGTGGGGGATGAGATGAAAAAGCTTCAGTTTAGATATAGAGTAGTTTGGGGGCCGGAGATGATTTGGCTTAGTGGTTCTGCCACCTGCTTCGCAAGCACAAGGGCCCGAGTTCAATCCCTGGTGCCAAAAAATATATATAAATAAATAAATATATAGATAGATAGAGAGAGAGAGAGAGAGAGAAGTTTGCATTGGTGTAAGATTTGCCTGATAGTCTCTACTTCTTGGAAAGGCAGTAGGTGGTCTTCTTCTGAAATTGAGAGTGACAAAAGAGGAGTAATAAGAAGGATAAAGAGATAGAGACTGGGAATAACTCTGACACTGTCGAACTATGAGGTTATAGGGGCCACCATTGAGCTGGAAGAGCTTTTAGCTATTCCTAAGAGCTAGCTTGGATTGCCTCAGGGGATGACAATGGCTGAACCAGGCAAGGGTTGAGGATTTCATAGGAAAACGAGGTAAAAAGAAATATCGGTTCTGGAGAAAGAACAGATGAGGATATAGAAGGTAGATACTGAGTTGCAGGGGGATAAAGAGGAATTAGGAAGGGACTCACAGGCTGGGAGAAAATTAGAGATCAAGAAATGCCTAACTCGTGCCAACCTCAGTGTTTTTCCTAAAGGAATTTATCTATAAATAAATAAATAGATAAATAAATAAAAAGGGCTGGGGATGTAGCTCAGCAGTACCACGCCTGCCTCACAAGCACAAGGTCCCAAGTTCAATTCCCCAGTAGTAGAGGGGTGCTTTCCTCCCTTTCTGATTTTGGCTTTCTCTGCACTTCTTTTTGCCTTCATCATATACCAGAATCTTATGAAAAATCATATTATAAGCACCGGTTTAGAGTCACACAAGTCTGGCTCCCCTTATTGCATGACCTTTAGAAAATTTCTAACCTCTCTAGGCCTAACTTTTCTCAACTAGAAAAGGATAATAAAGGTTTTTCACTCATACAGACAGTGTGAGAATTAAATCTACATGTACAAAGCTCAGCACTGAATTCTTACATAGTAAATGCTCAGTAAATGATAGTTATTATTACTAACATTTGGAGTCACTGGTATTTGCGAAGGATTGCCTTCCACACATGAAATGTTTTAAACAACATTTCACTATAAATTGTAGACTCTGATGGGGATTTTTCCACCCTGGGCATACATCCTGTGCTGAATTAACAGAAGACTTGAAATGATTGTGACTCATTGTACCAGGTCTGATTCTTTAAGACCCAGCTGGGCTTTTATTACAACCTAGGGACGCAGAAAACTTGAGATTTACAAACTAGTAGAGAGAGAACCAACTTTAGTCTGAAAGCATCCTTCCTTGCCAGGGGGTGACAATGTACACTCTTCATTTGTCAAATTAATGTCCTTGGCCCCCTGGCGTCACTTCAGTGTGCCTTAAATTGGAGTTTGAGGTGGTTAAAATTTTTCTTGAGCTAACTGTTTTTGTCAATCACTGGAACCAAGCCATTTCTGAATCTGCTGAATCAGCATGACACTGTATTCAGCTATCATTCTTTATACCTGTGAGCGGGAAGGCAATTACTAGGTTGAACTTTACAGTCAGACAGATCTAGTGTCTAATTCTGGTTAGGCCATTTACTGGTTGTGATTTAAAGCAATTTAATTAACTTTTGTAAGCCTCTAGGTACTCATCTGTGAAATGGGCTGATAATGAGAGTGCCTATTTGTAGGGAGTTGGAATAACTACTAGAGGATATATAGTGCCTGCCACACAGTACTCTAAAATGTTGGCTAATTACTTATGTTTAATATTTTAATGTTTCATTTACATTGTTTTATCCAATTAAGTGAAAGAACAGTTGCCGAAGAAAATTTAGATTAGATGTGTGATTAGTCTTACCAAAAAAAGAATTAGATGTCTTATCTCTCAAACTAAAGACTTCAGTAGTTTCAAATTATAGTGCCTGCCACACAGTACTCTAAAATGTTGGCTAATTACTTATGTTTAATATTTTAATGTTTCATTTACATTGTTTTATCCAATTAAGTGAAAGAACAGTTGCCGAAGAAAATTTAGATTAGATGTGTGATTAGTCTTACCAAAAAAAGAATTAGATGTCTTATCTCTCAAACTAAAGACTTCAGTAGTTTCAAATGACTTAAATCACCTTCAATATATGAGTGAATCATCAAAATATAGAACATTCATTTTTAAAAATGGTACATGAATAAAATGTGAAAATGTCACTCTATGATATTTCAGACACAGATCAGGCAGTGCCATTTTCACAAAGCAATCCGAGCAGTCTTGGTTATGGTTATGGTGGTCATGGTGGTTGCTGCCGTGGTGTTGGTAAATCCTGTGCCTGCCCCACCATCTTTACAAAGACAATACAGAACCGTGAGTTTGGATAAGAATCGCGGGAACAAGTCAGCTCTGTCTTTGCACCTGGGGAGAAACCCTTTAACTTCATTTCACTTCAGCTTAGATGTCTGCTCTCCAGTACTGGAGAGCTCAGCGCTGTCTCTGAAGTCCTTCAGCGGCTCTTTTTGGAGCACAGCAACAGGTTCCCAGTTCATCTTTCCAGCCTGGGCCTGAAAATTGACAGAATTTTAAAACACGAAGGGATATTCTGACGCATCTACCATTGTTGCTCAATAATTCTCAAGGACAGGCTTTTCTGCCTTGTATTAGTCTTTAAAAAAAATACTGCTCATCTTTGTTCTTTCTTCAGGAAGAGATGGGTGCAATGCGGGTGCGGATCAAGGGTGGGTGTTATAACGCCAGCCCCTCATGCTGAGTATTCTTAGAAATCTCAACTCACAGTTCCTTTTTAACTTATAATTCTTTGAGTTTCTTAGGAATAATTTTTAACATCAATAAAATTGTAGGTCAACTCTTAAAAGTACTCTTTTAAAAAAATTACATACAAATTATATTTACCATAACTGGGAGAATGCTCACTTTCATTAAAACAGCAACTCACCTAACTAGATTCCTAGATTTATATGTAGTGTTCTAAAAAGCAATATTAATTTTAATAGTTTGTCGAAATTCCTACTTAACTTCACTGGAGATAAATTTACCGTTGAGATTTTATAGATCAAATCATATTTGATTGCAACAGTTAAAAAAAGAAGTTATTCTAAGTATCTGTTACTATCTCAGCTAAATAAAATATTTATGTAGGCTGATTTCTGCAGAGCACAGAGTTTTCACTGGTGGCTACTTCCTGTTACTTCAAGTTTGGTAATACACAAATTGAGACTACTCAGCGCAGACCCAAGTCCTATTCAGCGTGAAACTTTCATTCTATGGATTTAATTTCAGATTTAAAATTAAATTGCTCTGAGTTGTGACTAGTGGATATCTATACAATTAAGACTTAGAAAAAAACTGAGTACCTAAATTGATATATGGGGAATACCTCCACATGCTGTTCCAAACTCAAGGAGAAAGGACACTTTCACCACACCACAAAATCTAACCTCTTTATTACAAGAGTCTGAAAATTCTTCACTCAAAGTTCAGAAAAGATCAACCTGTATCTGAATTTAGGATGCCTGTTTTCAATCTCCTCCATCTTCCCATTGTGCAATAGTAAATTCAGTGCAGCAGCACTCACTACAGAGTCAGGCTTCCGGGATTAGGAGAAACATCTGCCTAGCTACTAACAAGTTATCATTTGTACTGTGTAAGTTATACTTGTGGAACCTTCCAAGTGAGGCTGATAGCTGAAAGGAAGGGATTTCACAATCTTCTTCCAGAAAACTCACTGGAGTTTTTAAACAAGCTTTGATATATAGATCTTCTTTGGATGCAAACTAATACTGTTAGCCACAGTTGAAACCGTTTCTAAGAAGTCACAGTAATAACTATGAAGGAAAACAGGCCTCTTCCCTCCAGTACCTTAGTCACAACCCTCTTTTACCTTTTACCCTTAGGCTTAGTCTACCTTAGAGAATAATTCCTACTGTCTTGTCTCCTCTAGGAGGGTTTAATAAGTAGGAGAGATTGTAAAGCCAACATCTCTGTTTAGACGGCAGTTGTTCATGTTTCCAGTGTTGTGCTTACTGTTTTAAAATGTTTTTGAAAAAGCATCTTACAAGAGGCTATTACACACACACACACACACACACACACACACACACACACACACACCCTCCAATCCTTATAATGAACAGTTTGCTTGTGGCATTTTCTATGCTCGATCACTAGCCTTATGTGAGGCAGATCATTTTATCCAGAGGTGGGTGAGGGACACCTTTGAGTCCAACTGCTCTTGTGCTTATGCCTTTGCCATTCCATCATCAAGAGATGAAATTTCACTGTCTTCTCTAAAATCTGAGCTGGCCTTGATGATAAGCTGGTAGCCAATAAAATGAGGCAGAAGTAGTATCATATGACTTCAGTGGAAGGATTGGAAAAGGTCACATGATGTGCATTGGGATCTCTTGGAATATTTCTGCCATGGACAATCCCTGTGGAATGCCCCGCTAAGAACCCAGCCCCCATCCTGGGAAAGGCCCAAGCCACTTCGGGAGGTGTTGATGAGGCTTTCAGTCAGTAGTCTCAATTGAGTTGATCCTACGCCAAAGATTCTCCCAGCCCAGATGCCAAGTAACTGAGAAAAGGAGCCTCTGGGTTATTTCAGGCCAAGATGATCCAGTCACCCTCAACCATTCAAGGTTTCCAATCTGAAATCCTAGACACTGTAGGACAGAGACAAAAACTCCCCTCTGACTAGAAGAATCTACGGGCATGTGAAAATGGTTGTTTTTACCTCTAAAATATCTGCTACTTAGCAATAGATACTTCAACAAAATGCATGTGTTCTTTTTCTTAGCTACAATCATACAAATGTATGACTTTATAACCTTCACTTTTTTCCACTCAGCTTTTATTAATCACCAATATGATGACTGCCATGTAAAGGAGCAGTTTAAATAATAGGGACACAATGCATATTTTACAGTCAGAAAGCCTGGCTCAGGCAACTGAGATAACTACTTACTTACTTGTTCCAAGTCTGTTTCTTTGTCCATCGCTGGTGATATCAACATTTGCCTATTGGGATTATTGGAACTGAGTGAGACAAGCTACATAACAGTAAGGGACGTGATGCCTGACATATCAGATTTCTAGAAAAATTTACTTTTCCTCTGTAGGCTTCATGTCTATCAAATTGCTTATTTTATTCTTCCTTTGGAAATAGAAAAGCTGTATTACTTCTAGTCATTCAGTAGAATTCCTAAAGATGTAGTATCTCTTTAAATGCTAAGGTCTTTCCCCCACATAAGCTGATAATTTGTCATCTTACTTATATACATGACCCTAGTTTTTGTTCCAGAGTTAACTAATATATAAAAACATTTATAAGGCTGGCAGGTATCTGGTAAATGCTGCAGACAGATTTAGCTATTATTGATATTTTCCACTTATTTCTATGAGGTGTATTTTGTTTGCTTGTGGTTCGTGTCTGATTTTATTAAGCAATTTCAAAGCTGGAGTTTTCAGACAAAACCGTGTCCATGGGTGACCTTACTCCATTCAGTTTGTTAATGTCCTGGCACTCAGATTCACTCCATTTAATATGAAACTAAGTAATCCTCCATTAGGCCTCAAACCCTGCCTGCTGAACTACTTGTCACTTGCAACCTCTGTGATGATACAGAGGTCTGGAAATGCAAACTGTGTTTTTTAATCTATTCTGTCATCTAGATTATTTATGAAAGTGTAGCCCAGGTCTACAACACAGCCCTCACTAGTACTATTTTTCACATTATAGTTTTCTTTGCATCTAAATTATTCAGGAAGAAGAATTCCTTATGTATTCTCATTATATGTGAAAGAATGAGCTTCTGTGATCTTTCATGGTTACATATCTCAGTACGGCACACCTAGAAAATCCTAGACAAAGGGATCTTTCTTATATTTAGCCAAATATATCCTGCTGCAGATACAAGTTGTTCCATGCAAGTATGCTTCCCAGAAGCATCTTCCTGGTGTTGCAGCAACTCCTTGAGGTCCATTAACTGCCTCCACAGCATCTTATCTTTGAGAACAGTAGGAAACAGGTCTTAAAACTGTAAATCATTTTCATGCATCCTCAAGTGGACAATAACAATTCTTTTTTTTTTCAGCTTTAATTGAGTTTATTGGTACATTTTAGGGATACAGTACAGTTACATTCATTGTTGGGATCTTGTACCTCTACATGACAGGTCTTGGTTCTCATTTTTTCCCCTTACCCCTGCCCTCCCTTCACCCCCTCCTTCCCTCCCCATCTACAAGCACATTATTTCCATCTTTTCATTATCTCACATTTTTTTCTTTTCCCTTATTACCCTTCCCCTACCCATCTCACCTTCCCTACACCTTTAGCTCCTTTCTTCCCATTTCTAAATGCCAGTAATCTTATTAGGATCTTATGTATTATTGCAGATTATTCACACCAGGGAAGACAATTACAATTCTTTAATGTATTCTACGATCAGTGTCTGTTAAAAGAAATCTATCAGATTAACCCATCCTAAAGATTTTTCTTGCCAAAGCTTGGATGGTGATTAATCAATATTTTTTTCTGAGATTTAAACATGAATTTTTTATGATGCTTCCCAATATACTTTCTAGATATAAAAATTAACATCATTCCATGTTTTCATAATTTTATTCTAAAAATAATACAATGTCACCTTCCCAACATTCCTATTTCATTCAAGTTCTTAAAGTGATAGCAAATGCATGAGTAGTGATTTCAATACTTTACTGAAGATAATTATCCAATTTAATCTTTAAATCCATCATCAAGTTAATTCTTTGCTCCTGCTTAATCTCCTAATTTCCTACTCCTTGTGGCCCATTCTAATACGCTGATCTCCTGAGCAAAGTATAAAGTGAATAAATGAATGAATGGCTATATGTAGGTACTTTTTCTCCTGAATTAGAACACAATTTCTTTCTTTCCTGCTTTTTTCTTTCTTGCTTTCTTTATTTCTTTGTCTATTTCCCTGTTTCCCTATCTCCCTTCCTTCCTCCCTTCCTTCCTTCTGATTAATTTGTTTTTTAAAAGGTGAATTTCTTTCAGGTCTCTTTTCTTTTAATTTATTCCTTAATTTAGCACCCTTTTTAAACTATGAAAATCTTTTTTCACTTCTTTTGTGCTATCCATTTTGACTTTATTTATTTAGTCACAAATATCAGTAAAAGCCTACTAGGTACTGTGCCCTTACAGTGGCTTTTCAGGATCACAATTTTCTGTCCTTTCTTCCTTGAAGTTCCTAGAAAGTTTTATGCTTTGAAAGCTGGACTAAAACTCATCCACTGTCCCTGAATTTCTTGAAATAACAAGATATTATAAAATAGTATGAATAATACAATGTGTTATCAGCAGAGAAAAAAATTTGAATTATGCTTGAAATATGGAAAGTAGATGGAATCAGAACTATAGATAAACAAAACTGAAAGAAGGCATCATCTGCAGTCAT